CTAATGTCCATCAAAAGGTGGTATAGGTTGGTATTTATATCATGTATAAAGTTATTAAAAGTGAACTATTGTCATATGCAACAATGTGGATGAATCTCAAAATTACTGTACTGAGTAAAAACTCACATTTTTAAAAAGAATATAAAATTCTAGAAAATGCAAATGAGTTGCCTGGAGATGGGGGTTAGGAGAAGAGCATAAATATAAAGGAGCACAAGGAAACTTCTGGGGGTGATGGATATATTCATTATCTTTATTGTGGTGATTGTTTCACGGTATACACAGTCAAAACTCATCAAATTTTACACTTTAAATATGTGCAGGTTTATTGTGTGTCAATCATATCCCAAAAATGTGAAAAAATAAAAATAGAAATATATATACCTAAAGACAGGCAAATGAGAAAATTGTGGGACACAGCTCAAGTATAACTTTGAGGACAATTTTAGCTTTGAATGCTGTGTTAGAAAAGAAGAAGGGATGAAAATCAATGATGTAAGCCTTCAATTTAAGATGATGGAAGAGCAAATTAAAAACTAAAGCAAGTAGACAAAAGGATACAATAAGGAGAATTCAGTGAAAATAGAAAACAGACAATACAGAAAATAAAACCAAAAGTTGGTTCTTTAAAAGGATTAATTGATAACTCATTAACAAGATTGATCAAGGATTAAAAAAACACAACATGGATGAATTTCAACACTATGCCTAGTGAAAGAAGCCAGTAGAATGTACTCTCTATGCAATTCCATTTACATGACATTCAAGAACAGAAATATCAGAACAGTGGTATCTCTGAGAGAAGGATGTAGTGCCTGGAAAGGGATGCAAGGGAACTTTCTAGAGGTGATGAAAATATTTTATATGTTGATTGAAGTGCTTATTACACAGATGTACAAGAGCCCAAACTCAATGAATTATAATGGAAAATCTGTGCATTTTATTGTATGTAAATTCAATTAAAAAATTCACTCAACTCTTTTATGTCCCTCTAGCTCTACCCTTTAGCTAAGCTTCTTGAAAGAATTACATACATCCACTGTCTCCATTTCCTCACCTGCATTCATTCTTCATCTCCCTTGAATTTAGCTTCTTTCCTATCATACTCCACTAAGACATTTCTAACTAAGATCACTTGTGTTAAATCCAGCAGATTTTTTCAGTTCTCATAGAACTTGACCTCTCAGTAGTATTCAACATTGTTGACTGCTTCTTTTGAAATACTGAATTCTTCAAGGCTCAGCCCTAAGCCGTTCTTTCTTCCTCTCACTCTATCCTGTCTTCCTAGGGAACACTAATGGCTTCTGCTACTATCTCTGTGCAGACTTCTCCCCTAAATCTTGACATCTCCCCTTGTATTTCTCAGAATATCTTCAAACTTAACATGTTCTAAAACAACTCAATCATCTTCCCCAAACCTATACCAGTGTTTCTTATTTCAGTGAATGGCACTATATATCTAGTTCTGAAAACCACAAGTCAAAACATCCTTAAGCTTCCCTTTCCCACAATCCCACATCCAGTCCATCACCACATCCTAGCAATTTTCTCTCCTAGATGTATTTTTGATACTTGGTTTCTCTCCATCTCTACCAGTATTAGTTTAGTCCAAGCTACATCATCATCTCTCACTTACGCTACTACTCTTAACCAGTCTATCTGCATCCATTCTGGCCCACTTCCAGTCAATTCTCTACACTACAAACAGAGAAATACTTTCCAGGTGCATATCTGATCATGGCATAGTCTCCCTTCACCTTTTTCAAAATAATCATGTAGTGGCTTTGCACTGCTCTTTGGATAAAATCCAAAATATATAACGTGGCCTAAAGGACCAAGCTCGTTTGGCCTCTGCCTATGTTTGAAATCTCACTTTGCAACACTCCCTTCACATTCATCCTGGCTTTCATTACCTTTCTTCTTTCCTGTCATAGAGCCATTTTTTACATATTATTCCTTCTATCCATAATGTCTCCCCTGGCACATAACTCCTACATATTATTCAGATCTCAGCTTAGAATTACATTTTTCAAAAAGCATTCACTGACCTGGTTACCTGCTTAAAGCACTGTGTACCCCCCTTCATGGCATGTATCACAGTTGCATCTTAGTTTTGTTTGATGAATTGTCTAAATAACATCCAACTTCTCCACTACAAGATGCATGGCTATAAGCACTACATTTATTTTTTTATCACCTTTGTATATCCAGCCTCTAGTAAAGATCTGGCAGGTACCTAGCAGGCCCTTATAAATATTTCTAAATGAATTAATGAAGAATTAAAAATTATCTGTTCCTAAATGAAGTAACATGGACCTGGTGACATATTTTAAATGGACTTCAAGCAACCATCTAATCAAATGCCCTGTTTTTAAGTAGAATTCCAGTCAAACTATCACATAGTTGTCTTTCATCATTCCTTTCTTCAGTGTGTTTCAGAAGTAATTACTATGTTCCAGGCACTGAGGCAAAGAAGTGACAGAGACAGTCAAGGTTCCTGCACTCATTCATGCAGCATCCGGTTTAAGTTGACTGACCTTTCATTTCAAAAGTTCTTACTCTAAAGCCAGATTACTTGTTTCCTAACCTCTGTGGAGAATAAGTTTATCATTATTTTTTAAATAAATCTTTAACTTTCTGATGACTGTGAGGCAATCTTGTTCTATTTTATGGAAACCTTACTATTTCTCAAACATATAGACCTGAATAATTTTAATTGCCTACATAACTATATGTCTAATCATAATGAGAAGCAAGGTACAAAGAATTAAAATGGAAAAAAGTATACCTGCTCACAAAAGATAAACATATATAGATTAGACTCCAAGGAAAAACCTATTGCATATCCTGAAAACATCCCTCAAAGATAAAAGTCAGAAATAAGGCAAATAATTGACAAATCAAAAACTTAAGACACATACACATTGTTTTTCAGAAATCTGAAAGAAGTTGCATTTAAAAACTCTTTTCTCAAAATACCTACTTGATAGTAAATAGTGAGTGATATATACACAAAATGTTATCCCACTGTGTCTAAATCGATTACCCATAATGCAGACCTGGGGTCGGAAGTTGTCTTGACTACATCTACATTGTTTTTATAGTGGTGTTGGTTTTAAACTGAGCTGTTCACACACCAAGTCCTCATTACTTGAATTTGCAAAATGGCTGGCTAGAATTAGGAGAGTCATCTGTTGTCATGGAAACAAGTTTCTCTTTCTGTTTCTCTAATGTGTGTGCTAAAATAGAGATAAAAATCTATAACCACAGTTATCAAACCCTGACATATACATGGTTATTCCATTTTATTTTCTTCAAAATCCTTTTAGAATGCACCAAATTGGAAATAATACTCTAATAACCTGCTAACTATTGGCAAGTTTGTAAGGATGACCTCCTACTTGTTCATTTAATAACTTCTATTAATAAATCCCAGTCATCATGCCCTCACTGATGGCTCTCGAACATGAAAGTCTGATCATAGAGCATAAACTATCTCACAGAAGATATCTTAAAACTCTGTAGTCACTGTAACATATTTGCCGCTGTTAAACATGTTGGAGGACTTAAGACCAATTTAGTTCTATGTCCTATTAATTGTTACTAATTTAATCCAGAATGTATCATCTGTGTATGTAATTGCAATGGCTCTTAATTTCATCATCCAACCCATTGTTAAATTATTAAATATTGTCCTAAAGGAGAGATTCCAATGGAACAGTACTTTCAGGCTGACACAAAATCAACAATGAATAGTCAACATTTATAGCGTGTACAAAAGGCTTTCACACACATTGATATTTGATCCTTCATTTATTCAACAGATATTTCAGGAACTGAGTGCTAATTCTATGCCAGTCATTGGCTAGATGGTGGGGATACAATGGCAGTCCTTACAATAACTCTGTAATAGTGGTTATCAAAATGTTGTCTCAGAACGAGTAGCATCCGCATCACCTGGGAACTTGTTGAAACTCCACATTCTCAGGCCTCACCCCAGACCTACAGAATCAGAATCTGGGGGTAGGGCTGAGCAATTCAGGAATCTCTAACAAGCCCTCCAGGTGATTCTGATACATGATCTAGTTTGAGAACCACTGCCCTGTAAAATAGCTCCTTACATTATACAGTAGTTCCTGATCATCTACGGTTTCGCTTTCCATGGTTTCAGTTATCCACAGTCAACTGTGGTCCAAAAATATTAAATTCAAAATTCCAGAAATAAACAATCCATAAGTTTTAAATTGCATGCCATTCTAAGTAGTGTGATGAAATCTCATGCTGTCCTGCGCTGTCCCACCTGGGACATGAATCATCCCTTTGTACAGTGGATGGATGCTGTATACACTACCCACCTGTTAGTCCCTTGGTAGCCATCTTGGTTATCAGATCTGCTGTTGCAGTATCACAGTGCCTGTGGTCAAGTAACCCTTATTTTACTTAATAATGGCCCCAAAGTGCAAGAGTAGTGATGCTGGCAATTTGGATATGCCAAAGAGAAGCCATAAAGTGCTTCCTTTAAGTGAAGAGAACATAGCATATAGAGGGTTTGGTACTATCCAGAGTTTCAGGCATCCACTAAGGGCATTAAAACATATCTCCCCTGCGGATAAGGGGGGGCTACTGTATATTAGAAAATTGAGACTCTGACAAGGATATCACAGACTTGAGATACAAAAGAGACTTTTTGCCACCACTTATCCCCAGAGATTAGAAAAGTGTCTGGCATATAATATGGGCACACAATAAAGATTTGTTGGATGAAAAAAATGAATGAATCCTCCAAAGAGTTGTGTTTTCACTCAATTATGGCAATAGCCCAAGCAATATAGTCCTAACTTACTGAAAATGTACATATTGATAACGAATGCATTTCCTCTGAAAAGAGAAATGTTCACCATGACATCAAGAATTATAATTTAAAAACTACTATTTTTGACTCTCACATAAAAGAAGTTACCAAAGGTTATCAGTACCAACACTACTCAATTTTTCCATACCTTGTTATTTTGCCTTAATTTACTTAACTCTAATTTATATTTTTCTGCTTCTTCTAGAGCTCTATTCAAACGGACTTCTGTGGCACTTTGACTAGTGGCAGCCTGTTTTTGTAGTCTTCTTTTATTTTCTAATTCCTGTAGAGTAAAAGAGAATAATATGGAACATTTATAAATATATCATAAATTCTCTTTATTATTTTGCAACATTTTCCATTTCCATATTCCTTGCTTTCTCCCAAATTTTACACACACACAGACACACACACACACAGCCAGAGACCGAGCACTGAGTGACAGTCTTAAGGAATTCTTACCCTGACTTGGTATTAGGAAAACATGTCCTTAAAGATGTAGTCACGAAATAGGCTTTCAGATTACTTTTTATTTGGAATTTTCTGCCTCTTTTTATTGACCCCAAGTACACTATACATGTCCTCTATATTTATTTTATACACAACTCTTTATAATTATAGTTCTTCCTTTGGGAACCTCCCAAAACACCAATGTAAGACACACGCTCTCTCATAAATACTGTGTGTGTGTAAACCTGACAAAGTATACCATATAAAAAAATATTTGTTAAATACAGAGCATTCCACATTAGCCTTAGAGGAAAATCCAAGTTCTGAGTAAAAGCAACAGATCCTATGGATTATTTTCCACCTCTTAGGGTGGGTCTAGACCTGCATTTCTGCAAATATTCTGAGAGGTGCTGTCGTACACAGTCTTCACGCCACACGTGAAGAAACGCGAACATACAGGATAAGCTCCAAACTGCGCCATAATCTCATCTCCAGCACAGGTGATACCCTTGGATCTGTCAACAGCCATGTTTGCCTCTCTCCCAAACAGCCATGATGTTTCTTGCCTCTGAACCCTTGCTCATTTTCTTCTTTCTGCCCTGATTCCTCCCTACTCTCATTGTTACCTGGCTAGCACCTACTCATCCTTTAAGACTCAGCCAGGGCGGTACACTAGGTTTTCCCTCCTCACAGAAGCCGTCTCTCACTATCACCTCCCTGTTCTCCCAAGTTGGATTAGGTATCCTTTCTTCAGAGCTTCTACAGCACCCTGATCTACATATAATCATAGTACCTGCTGTGTGGAGCTGAAACTATCCATTCACTTCATTTCCCCACTATAGTGTAAGCTCCTGAGGGTAGGAACTGTCTTAATGTCTATATTCCCAGCACTTTAGTGGCATATAAGAGGCACTAATGACATGTTCATTGAACTAAATTTATTTTGTAATTCTTAACTCACTCTTCCTTGCATCCCCATACAATGCCTAGTCCAAAGCCTTATACAAAGCAGACACTCAATAATTACCATGGAATTGAAATGATGCAGTTAAAAATACAGTTGTCTGTTTTCTTCTTTTATAATTTTTTCTCCTGGCTCTATCACTACATTTTATTTGAAACTGATCTCCCTGGCTCTGAGCAATTAAGGGGAAAACAAAACATAACACATGCTGCTCTTTATGTAGGTTTCTAAACAAATCAAACTGTGTACGGATGCCATCTGCTATCACCAGCCTTCTGTGCAGCTTTGTGGGTAGCAGCTACACTAAGAGCAAGCCTGATTTGTCTCACTGTTCACATGAGAAAGCAGAGATTCTCATTAGCTGCAAAGTCCACAATTCTTGCTGCCTCATTTCAGCCTCCTCACATAAGAATATGGAAATGAATCTTTGCTCTTCTCTTTCCGACTGATGACTTTGTAACCTACTTCACAGAAAAATGAAAAACATGATCTCTTCACCACATGATCTCCCCTTACCATTGAATCAATACTGTCTCTGCTTCTTGGGAGAAGTGAAAAAGAATAGTCAGAAGAGTAGTAAAGTAGGAAATAAAGTTTTCCTATATGAGTAAATCCACTAAAGAAAGGGAAATCCTTAACAAAAACTTGAAAACAGTTCTGTTTTCAAGCATACTCAAGTACTTTTTACAAAGTGAAGACAAGATACCAATACTGTTATGAAAGAGCTTGCATCCTGAAAATAATAAAGAAAATCTATTGTTACCAAAAAAAATTAAGCAGTTTATGTGTTGCTAAAGTTTTATGAAAAATATCAAGCCCTAAATTTTACATTAGTTTTTAAGAGAAAAAGCTGGATAGCTTAGAGAAAATCAAGTCTAAATTTAAAAGTAAAATACTATGAGATCCAACAAGAAATAATGTGCCATTCTCTAATAACTTTTTAAAGCATTCATAAGATACTGGGGAGGGGCAAGAAGAGAAAGAGGTATGTATCAGTAGCCAGGGCACAAGACAAAATGTAGTATATGCTTTAAGAGTAACACAAATTGCTATAGTAATTCAGATGAGGAATAATCAGATGAGGACAAATAAATGATCAGATAAGGTTCTAGAAACAAGTGGCCAAGGTACAAAAAGCAATAAGCTTGGAGTCAGAAAACCTGCCAGCTGTGGTAGACTCAGTTTCCACATTTGAAATTGAGAGTAATAATGTCTATACTTAATAGGTTTTACTTATTCAACACTTTTATCAAGCACTTACTATTATGCCAGGTACTATTCTACATCATGGGCACACGATAATTAACCAAAGTTCCTCCTCTCATAAAGCTTTCTAGAGGAAGAGATAGATGATAAACACATGCATACATACATATTCACTCATATGTAATACCGGGTAGTGATAAGGGCTATGAAGAAAAATAAAGGGTAGGGTGACAGAGCAATGGCGGAGGAGCATAATTATTTAAGATAAAGTGGTTATGGGAAGGCTTCCAAATGAGGGAATGATCCATGTAAAGATCTGAAGGAATGAATTACAGACTGGAGGAACAATGAAGACAAAGACTCTGAGGCAAGAATCCACTTAGTATATTCAAAGATCACCTAGGTGGTCAGTGTGGCTTCAGCTGAGTGACACAGCCACAGTGTCAGGTCTTGAGACAGGAGAAACAGGCAGGGCGAGCTTAGGCAGACCTTGTAAACCCTGCTCAGGAGTTTGGATTTTATTCTGAATGACATGGGAAGCCTTTGGAGGGTTTTTAGTAGGGGGTGTGTATGTGCGTCATGACCTAAGTTTTTTTAAGGATTATTCTAGCTACTGTGGTAACTGTGGTACTGAGCGTAGGAATACCAATCTGGAAGGTCACTGGAATAGTATAAGTGAAAGATAGTAGCTTAAACTTGAGTAATGAGTTTTTGACAACGGGTCACTTCTATATATTTTGAAGACAGAATAGGCAGGACTTGATGGATTGGATGTAGGTGTGGGAAAGAGAAGGATCAAGATGATTTTTGGATTTTGGCCTGAACAACCTGATGTCTTTTACTGAGAGGGAGGAAGGGAGAAGTAGGTTTGCAGAGGACAGGGAAGCAAGAGTTCCCTTTAGGACATATGAAGTTTAACATACCAAGTAGAGATATCAAGTGGGCAGCAAGATGTAAGAGTCTGGAGCTCAAGGATGTAAGAGCAAGAAATAGAAATGTGGAAGTGATTGATATATCGATGGTATATAAAGCCATGGAAATGAATGAAGGCATCTCAGAATTGGATGTAGACAGAAAAGAGAAAAGAGCCAAGGACTGAGCCTTGGACACTCCAACACGTAAAGGTCAGGAAAATGAGGAATAAAATCATCAGTGTGGTGCTCTATAAGCCAAATTAATAGTGTTTCAAGGATGGAGTAATCAACCATGTCAAATATTGCTAAGATATAAATCACTATGAGGAATAATAACTGACTAGAACTGGCAATGTGAATTACTGGTGACCTTGTTAAGAATGGTTTCAGAAGCAGAGTAGAGATGGAAGCCTAACTGGAGGAGCTTTAGGAGAGAATGGCAAATGAGGAATAGAGACACTGAGTATAGACAACTATTTTAAGAAGCTTCACTTTAAAGGGGAGCAATGATATAGGGCTGGAGGTAGATGTGAGACCTACGGAGGTTTGTAAAAATACATATTGGAGAGTCCATGGCATGTTTGTATGCTAATGTGAATAATCCAAAAGATAGAGTAAATTTGATTTTTGCAAGAGAAAGAAAGACAGGAAAATTGTAGGAGCAAAGCCCTTGAATAGGAGAAAGGGCATGGAATCCAGTGCACAGTGATCAGCTTTAGACAGAAGAGATAGTAATCCATCATAATGAAGGAGAAAAAAGAATAGATGGTTATAGAGGCAGAGAAGTTGACAGATTTAGTAATAGGATCAGGAAGAGTTATCTTTTGATTCTGTTTTCTTAGTAAAATAGGGAGCAAAGTCATGCACTGAGAATGAGAAGGTTGGAAGAGGTAATGGAAAACTGAGGAAGAAAGATCACTGTTTAAAATCACCTCTGAAAGTGGAAGAGGGAACTGGCTTCTCAGAAAGTGGGAGAGGAAAATGGCATCATTACACTTGATATGTGTAAATAAATTTAAAGTAGGACCAATCCGCTTGCCTGTGTATTTTTGTCCAGCCATAAGTTACTGCTCATGAGTAGGCATGCAGTAGGGGGTAAATTAGGTTTAACTAGGTTGAGTTTTGCCCACATACTAGACTGGCAGGAAATTAAGAATATATGCAATGGATAATTAAGTTGTGTACCATGGAACCTAAACTGAGGAAGAAGGGAATAAAGAACAAGGGAGAAGTGGTAGGCCTATATAAAAAAAGTATATATGAGAGTATCCAACTATTATATGTATATGATAGCAATTTGTAAACTATACAATATTAAACAAAGATAAAGTACCAATAACATCATAGCTTTGCAGGATACATATAGGCAAAAATGAAAAAAGTTTTCTTTGAAAAATAAGGAAATGACTTGAAGAAGTTGAGAAAATGCTTTTTCAGAGTTTCACTATGAAAGCAGAAAAGAACAAAGCACCTTTAGGAAATGACACAGAGCTCAATTTTAGCTGAAGCAAGATAATGACAGCAGACATATATTTTTTAAAGTTACTAATGATAAGAGTGACATGATCCATGATCAGAGAAACTTGCAGAGTGCACCTACTGGCTTTAATTTGACCAAAACCCCAAACAAAACAGAGATTAAGTCTTCCACCCATGATGAAAGACTAAGGATCTAACATAAAATGTATTGTAAACAACTAGAAAAAAATGGTCAAAATATGTTAAAAACTGTATTAATACTGGGAAATA